AAGCCCTGCTTCAACATGCTCCTTGCAATGCGACCGTCCCGCACCGCCCTTGGAATTGCCCCTGACCGTCTTCTGCAGGATAACACTATAGGAGGGTGACACCAGGGGGCAAACTGCACAAAGTTATGAATCTGGAGAGAGAAGGAGACTCTCAGCCATGTCCTGGGGTCCTTCAGAACCAGGTGGAAGGGTTCCAGAGGCTGGGGCCATGGTAACATCATCACTGTAGGCAGTGTTGTCTTCTGGCTCCTCGAAGATCCTCTAGAGGGAGACCCAGAGGGACCCCATGGAGCATTCCCTCCAGCAGCTCCCCACCAAGAAGTAGATGAAGGGTTTGATGCTGCTGTTGATGCAGGAAAGCAGGAAAACAATCGGAGAGGACACAGTGGCATAGCTGAACTGCTGCCGGAACATACAGTGTTTCTCCCCATGCATGCAATCATGCATATAAGAATTGGATAAAGCCTTTGTTCACAAGTCTCTAAGAGGTAAATGATAGATTGGATAATAGTCCGGCTCAGTCCTCCCTTCGCAGGTGTTGTTGCTCTTCTGCTCCCTTTATCTTATCCTTCTAGAGTTTGTTTTCATCCTCCTTTTGTGCTTGGTATGCATCTCTTGACCTTGCACATGTTTAGTTCATCTCCACCTTTTAGCTGGTTCACAGGGTGTCCATTTTCTTCTAAGTACATTGTCTCCACAGTGGGGCTGGGCAGGGGGTGCAGGAGGTGGTGGGACTCCACACCCATCAGGCAGGAAGAACACTAGCCCCAGGTAGGACAGGGAGGCAGTGTGGGAGGAGGCTGCTCCCAGCAGTTCTCCATGCCTGGACCAGCCTGAGGATGATGGACAATGTCCCTTCTTCCTGCCTCTGCCTTGGTGCCAAACAGGCGTGTGGCACAATGGCACTTGGGCTGAAGACATCTGACATACCACCACGGGCTCAGACCCCCACATCTCTCCCCACCATGCTGACAGGAGGCTTTGTGACCTGCCAAGACATCAACAAAGTCACAGGGAGGTGAATGATGTCCCGTGGAGCCTGTGGTGACCAGCACACGTGTCACCCTGCTCTTGGAAGGGAGTGGCCAGGCTGGGGACCACAGGCTTTCCTTCCCTTTGCTGCTGCACCAGCTGAGTCTACTGAAGGAGAAGCCAAAGCCAGGGGAGAGGGAGAATTCCAAATGAAAAGCATGTCCAGAAAAATAAAAACAGAAGCTATTTGGGGAGGGATTTGCTGTGACAGTAACAGAGCAGCCTGGGGGGAGCACTGAACCTGTGGGCCATCCTGTCCATATTGGGTGTCCCAGTGTGGTCTCAGCTGTGGGCAGTCAGGATCATCCCGCGGGGAAAAAAAACCCATGTGTGTTTCCCCCCCCCCCAGCCACATCCCTGTCCAGCAGCAGGAGGCAGAGGAAGCTGGAAAATACTGGCAGATGAGTCTGAGGCAGGTCAGGGTTCAGCATGCTGTTTATTGATATTGGACTGCAGTGAGATGCAGCAACCAGGTACCAGGTGATTTGGGGGATCAGAGTCCTCAGGGTCATGATCCCCTTGAGGGAACAGTGTTCTAGGACCTGGGAGGGATGAGGAAAGCCCTGCTTCAACATGCTCCTTGCAGAGCAACCCTCCCACACCACCCTTGGCAATGCCCCTGACCGTCTTCTGCAGGATAACACTATAGGAGGGTGACACCAGGGGGCAAACTGCACAAAGTTATGAATCTGGAGACTGAAGGAGACTCTCAGCCATGTTCTGGGGTCCTTCAGAACCAGGTGGAAGGGTTCCAGAGGCTCTGAGAATCGTGTTCATGATAATATCATCGCTGCAGGCAGATGGTAAGATCATCTCTTCTGGCTCCTCGAAGACCCTCTGGAGGCAGACCAAGAGGGACACCATGCCACATTCCCTCCAGCTGCTCCCCTTCCAAAAATAGATGAAGGGTTTGATGCTGCTGTTGATGCAGGCAAGAAGGAAAACAACCTGAGAGGACATAATGGCATAGCTGAACTGCTGCAAGAAATTCCAGAGGCTGAGGGGAAGCCCAAATATAAGGAAGAAGAGGACACTGATGAGGATAACGATATGGAGCCTCTTGGCTTGGTGGTGCTGGGAGCCACACAGGACCTTAATGAAGAGGATTGTGCTGGAAATGAGAATGACTGGAGTAATGATGAGGTTGAGGGCATACATGGCAATGACAGACAACTGGCAGTTCTTATGCCCCTGCCATATGCACAGGTAAGCCACTGTAGCAGTGGTAGCGAAGGAGAGGGCCCAGAGCAGGACACACACCACCCTTGGCTGGTGGCGGTAGCGGCAGCAGCGGTACCTGAGTGAGCTGAACATGGACCCACACCTCTCGATGCTGATGGCTGCCAGTAGATACAGATCCATGTGGTAGAATAACAGGGGCAACAGGAAAAACGCCATCAAGTTCCCATGGAACACAGCAGTGGAGCAGGAGGCATATTGTATCATGTAGAGGAGGCATTGGGCGGCCATGAAGAGGAGGAAGTAGAAGTCAGCAAAGGCCAGTTCGCTGATGTAGACGGTGGTGGGGTTTCTGCAGATGTGGACGCGAAGGAGCCAAAAGACAGCCCCGTTCCCTGCCAGCCCACAGAGGCAGACGAGCAGTGTGACACCACCTATGGCAGCATAGGTGACATCTATCCTGCATGGGTCATCACCATTGGTGGGTGAGGGGGACTTTGGGTACATGAGGCT